GAGTTTGTTTGTTAATATTTGGGTTGCTGTCATTGGTTCTTTTTTGACAATTGACGCGCGAATGGGGCGTGTTATGAAAAGGGGCGTTTTACAAAATAGCGGGCCTTGCTTGCAGGCCCACTATCAGTTCCCTTGGGCCTGCACGTGGGCTACGAAACAAACAATCATTTGATTGCTTCAAATTGATCAATTAATTTAACGTTACAAATAAAAATAGTTGCATGCACAGAACAGCACTTCAGTATGAACAACGTTTCTTTAAGGCCTCAATCTGCCTCGTCCCAGGCGCTATAAAACGGCGCTATAGTCACTATATAAAAGGTTTACATGAAGTAGTGCGTCATTATATGCGCGCAAAGGAGGATGGGATATGAGCATTCTGGTTAGCGCCTGGCCGATCTTGTATAAATAGCTGTCGAACACTAAACGCTCCCTTGTTTAAAAACTTCCTGTAGCTGTAGCTGTGGGTATTTTTAATAAATTCCTAATTGTGATAAGGATGCATTGTCATTTTTCCATACCTTGTAATATAAACCCTTCTACAGCCTCGTTGACCTCTTCAAGGGTTGACATTTTGAATCAGGGTCAAAAGATATCAAATGTCATCTGACTGTTATTCGCATGTTTAATTGAACAATTTAAAATGTTATTATCTCTAAAAAAATGGCGAAAAAAGCCCCCAAAATGGCGAAAGACCACGATTTGCAAGAAACAGACGAATTTTGCAAGAAACGAGACAAGATCTCCCAGGCGCTCCTCAATATTCGCAGCCTCAAGCCCATAACCCCCTGCAGTTGTTCGTAGCGATGCACTACTTTATGTAAACCTTTTATATAGTGACTCAAATGTGAAATTTTTCTATTAACGCCTGCATGGGGACGAGGCAGGGCCTCAGTCAAAACTCTCGCCATAAAACACACAAAAAATGTAATACTTAGATATACTTTACGCCATTGAATCTTACAAAGAATAAACAAATAATCTTGTCTAGTACCTTCATTTGGTCTTGTTTTCTTTCTATTCCATTTAGCTGAAGCTTCGTTCTGCTTAATTCCACTTTCATTTCATCTTGTCTCGCTTTCGTTTCAGCTTGGGACTGTTTCATCTCGTCAATACTCTCCTGAATTGAAAAATTCAAAACTGAATATGTTGCAGTATTATTGTTAAAGGACATTAACAATAAAATTTAGTTTGTGTCGATTGAAAGAACATTTAAAATTACAACTAAAATACATTTTCAAGCATATTTTTTATATCAAGCTTAACTCTTGAAATATTTTGACTGACAGATATGAATCAAAGATGGGCCATCTTAGTTAATTCTTAGCTTCATCAGTTAACTATGGTCTTGGTGACGTCATGCAGGAGTGGAACTAGCCCAGTGAAATGAATATACCCGAAACGCTACCTTCTGATAAACTGCCTATCTTTTTGTTGAAGCCAAATCTGACCGACATGGGAGTCAAAACACCCGTGTTTATGTTTCGTGATTCTCTCGCGAGACCGGCCAGTTAAAACTCTTTGCGAGCCACCCCCAGTCGCGTCATCAAAAAATTTTCCGGACATACCATTTTTCAAAAACATTCCCATTTATATACCGTAATTTGTTAACTTTTCTGTGATTTTCGTATTTATTTCAAATTTTGGCTGACTACGAAAACAACTTGCCGAGTCAAGCAGACATTTATCGAGTCCTTAGTGAATGGCGGCTGTTACACCCCATCTAGCTACGGCCCTGCCTTCAAGTTTTGCTTCAATTAGGGTTAGCCTTGTAAAGTTATACTTGTAAGTGACCGAGTAAAAATTCAAAAGAGTTTAATTAAATGTGTTTATTCATTTCAAAATTTGAAATAGCATGCCACCAAAAAAGAGTTTCGGTCTCATATTGATACCAGGCTGTGAAGAAAAAACAGAATTGCGTAATCCGACTTGTGATGTGACATGCATATCCTCCACAATCGAAGTTATAGCGCACAGCTCACTGTTTCAGTAGTCAATTCTGCATCCAATTTCTCTTTTTAGACCTAGTTTTGCAGAGAAAAAGGTTTGAAGTGTATACACTTGTTATTTTCTGTAATTAAATTGACTTACTATATCCAATAAACTAACATAAGAAAACAAATCAAGTCCGCAACCTCGTACCCAGGCTCTTCCTTTTACGCTCCTCGCTTGAGGAAACACCTTGGTATTTAATAACTGATCATGTTCAATGAAGAATAAATAAGTACATTAATAAACAGCGTACTTAGCTCGATATTCACTTATAACAAATCCTCTATTTTGGGTCTTTATAGGAGTCCATTTATTAGCAATCGATTGCTTCACAGTGTTTTTCTCTTATGGTGAAATGATAAATTGTATATTGCGTGTTTGCGTGTGTCCTTGCTTTAGCTGGGTGAAAGTTTTGTATTCTGTTTCTAATCAGAAATGTCTGTTTTTACCTTTAGCATAATGTATAGGTCTCACTCTATATTACACTCCACAGTATGTAACGTCAGATAAGGCATGCAAGGAAGGTATCTTTCTATAAATTCAAATTAACAGAATCTATCCGACACACAAACAGCTGAGTCAAATTTTCTTGCAGCATTTTCCCTTAAACTTCTTCACTTCATATTTTCTTTCTGGTATAAAAAAATCGGTATGCATTACAATTTTATTTACTCTCCACTCTCTTATATAGATTAATTAGCTAATTAAAAGACGACTACTTAGCTAATTGAAAGACGAGGAAATGGAATATGTATACTAAAACTCCAACACTTTATTGAGTTATATTTTCTTACTGTTAATTCTATAGATATGTGGCACGTTATCGAGCCATTCCACTAATTATGATTGCATTTTACGGCAATTTACAACATACTCGCTGTTGGCTGATAGGAATATGTTCTGTTTGGCTTGTCCTTGAGTATATATTACAAATCCTTTGCTAGTATTTCTTTACGGTTTTGCCCAATATGAAACTGAAAGGCTCCAGCACTATTTTATGCAGACCTTACGCAGCGACGTCGCAAAAATTCACAAAAAATACATATACAAAGTTCCATTTACTTTATTGACTGTTTGTTTCAAAGCCATCTCGCCCATTGATTTTGCAACACAAGCTCTTGCTATTCATTAAAATTACATCAATTTGTTAAATTACACCTACTCTGACCTTTATCTAATTGACATAGGCATCCTGATCGGCAACTAGATCGGTAGAACAAAC